TTAAACCATTTTTGGAAAGGGTACTAATTCCTAGTTTCCAAAAGTAACAGACACCTCAGTTAAAACAGCAGGAATGGCTAGGATCAGTCAGATACAGCCCAAAGGAGCTGGTGTGAAATCTCCCCTCTAAGAGGATTTCTATTTTTGAACAGGATCAGAGCTCCCAAGCTTTGGTAGTTTAGCTACTCCAAGGAAACAGTGAGAGAGGGGGTTGGTTACATACATATTCACCTTTTTGGTAGAATTCTGTTCACTGGGAATAAGAGAAATTCCTGGGAAGTCACATTTGCACAGGACTACAAGTCAAGCTGTGGTTGAAGAAGGCAGTAAGAAGGTACATTTAATGGCATAATACTTGCCTGCAATGCTGCTAGCACGTTGCTGTTGAATAGCACAATGATAGTCACTGCTGGAGTCTGGTCCCTGGCCACTTTAACTTGTTACACAGGGCTCTCTTCCACCTATCCACTTAGTCTGCATTGTCTGCCTCTCTGTCAGTGCCCTGAACTTGCACCTCCGGAAGCAGCCTCTCCTGTGGCTCAGTGTGAAGAAGACATTATTGCTTTTGGAGGACAGGCTTTTGCAGCCACATGCTTTGGTGAATGTGAGTGATTATAGTGGGATCTTATGTGGAGGAGTCCCCCAGGGATGTGTCAGAGCCTACCAGCTAACTGCAGGTGGATGGTGATGGTTTAGGGGTGGGACTAGACTGAAGCAAACACTGTAGCACCAGCAGTGCAATGTCAGAACTTCTATCTTCCCTTCTAAGACAATTCCTTTAGTCTTTTATTGCTGCTCTTCTCTGAAATGCCTTTGATTTGTCCAGTGTTCTGGAAATATGACATTCAGGGAGTACTCTAACTGCACTGTCATACAAACTGGGTCTAACCCTTTCTGGGGCTGTTACATCATGTGATACAATTACCCTTTCTTCTTTACCTAGGCTAAAGCATAGGCATTCATACCATGGTATTGAAGAACCTAAATAGAATAGAACATCAGAAGACTAGCCTCAGATAGTAAGATTAGCATTCCAAATGGGAAATACCTGGCTAGGCAGCAGTGCTGCAGAAAAGGATCTGGAGCTTATAGCAGATCACAAATTGGACGAGTCAACAGTGTAATGCTGTTGTGAAAAAGACAAATGTCATTCTGGGCCATATTAACAGGAGTGTTGTATCTCAGACATGGAAAGAAATCGTTACACTCTTCTCGGCACTGGTGAGGCCTCAGCTGGAGTACTGTGCCCAGTTTTGGGCACTGCACTTTAAAAAAAAGATATGAACAAATTGGAGTGAGTCCAAAGAAGAGCAACAAAAATGGTAAGAGGTTTAGAAAACCTGGCCTATGAGGAAAGTTTGAAAGTACTGGGCATGTTTAATCGAGAGAAGAGAAGGCTGAGGTGTATATGATAATAGTCTTCAGATATGTCAATGGCTGTTATAAAGAGAATGGGGATCATTTGTTCTCCATGTCCACTGAGAGTAGGACAAGAAGTAATGAGCCTAATCTGCAGGAAGGGAGATTTCAGTTAAATATTATGAAAAACTAATTGTAAAGTTAGTTAAGCACTGGAACAGATCACCTCAGATGGTTGTGGAATCCCTGTCACTGAAGATTTTTAAGACTAGGTCGTTAGACACACATCTGTCAGAGATGGTCGAGGTATATTTAATCTTGCCTCAGGGTGGGGAAAGGTCTCTAGATGACCTCTTGAAGTGCCTTCAGTCCTACATTTCTATAATGTACTTTATTCATCCACAAAGACTGATTTAACTTCTTCCTAACTTCGTAATTCTACTTTCCATTGATTAAACAACAACATTTTCGCATGGGACCATCTTGTTACATAAGTGGCCTTTAAGGGTCTGTTCCTGCGAGGTGGCGAGCAATGGAAGTCACAAATACTCAATACTTCACAAGAACAGGCTCCAGTCAGTGTGGGTTTTTTTTCACTGTGTGGTCATGAGGAAACATCCCCTTTGTTCAGATATGAGCAAACTGCAAGGACAACATCTGCAATCTATTCGGCCTGGTTCTCCTCTCACCTTCATATTGTTCTGTTCCTTGAGAGCAGCATTCCACCCACTACCAGCATGAGAAAGAGACACTCAGATCTTCCCACACCTCCTTTCAGAATGAAACTTAACCTTGTTTCTTTTTAACGGGTGTTGTTTGTCGTGAAGACAGGCCCAGAAATGTGAAACAAAGGAAAGGAAACAATTTGTTACAAATCAAACGGTGGGTTAGTTCCAAAAAAGGCAAGTACTTAAAATTTTGTAAAAGTACCTGGCACGTTGTGTGTCCTAACAATGCCCTGTGTCGTGGTACCCAGAAACCTCGGGGATAAGCACGTTAGATCAATGTAAATCTACCTAAAGCTTATGCTTCAGGGTTTCAGCAGGCCAGTGTCCAGGATAAGTAAGGGATTCCCCCACTCCCCGGCCCCATGTATTCTAAGAGGGTTTTTTATATCTCCTTTCTCTGAAGCATCAGGGATGACCACGGCTGGAGATGGTGGAGGGGGACAGAGGGAGGTTGGGCCAGGGCACTGTGGTGGTGCTGAGCATTCTTTCTCTCTCACTCAGGCGCTTGGCTGGCTGCTTGTTGCTCACATGCTCAGAGTGTAACTGATCCCCATATATGGGGTTGGGAAGGAATTTTCCCCCAGGTCAGATTGGCAGTCACCTTGGGGTTTTTTTTCCGTTTGTTTGGTTTTTTCCCCCTTCTTCTGCAGTGTATGGGTCACTTATCAGGATTATCTGAGTATATCTCAATGATTTCCCTGCCATGGCAGGGGCCTTAGACACTGGTGGACCTTGATCCCTTCTATTCTCTGAGTGGTGCCGGTGGCCTGTGATTTGCACTAGGTCAGACTAGAGTGGTCCCTTCTGGCCTTAAACACTACGATTCTATGACACTTTAGCTAGCTAGCTAGTCCGCACGATACGGTAACAGTACAGGCTGAAGCAGTATGTCCGTGTCTTAGAGGAAGTGGTAGTGTTAGAGGAGTACAAGTACCACCTGATGGGAGTTAACTTTTTTTATTATTAAATGCAAAGCAAATGCTGCATCACTATTAACGAGTGCATGACTTATGGTGCAGTAGCCTTGTTTCCTTGGTATTCATCTCCAGTATGTACCTGGCTTTCTCCTTTTGTCTACCAAAAAGTACTGGACAAGTCTAACGTCTAAAACCCAGAATGTATTGGTGTTGAATTCTCTGGTCACAATCTGTGGCTGCGCTGAGCTACCCTGTGCCTCTGGTCCAACACAAAGCTGTCCTAAACCCGGCTTAAATGGCCTCAGCAGGGATCACCCTAGTAGAAAGAAACCCTTCAGTAGCAGAGAGTTGATGTAGTGGCTCCTCTGCTACACCTCTCTGTGGCTGGACTGGGGTGGTTGGGGGGACAGGGAAGATGGCTATGGCTTCCGTGGGCCCTGACAATCACCAGCTGCTATAACAGTTCCTGGGATCACTGGCAGCTGGCATAATTTAGAGTAACCCCCACAGCGCTGTAAATTATCCCAGGGGAGTGACCCAAGATATGGGGAAAAGAAACATGGCTTAAAGCTATCTTTGTCCCCACTCCTACACTCCATGTTACACTGGGAGCAGACCTGCTGAGAGAAATTTGGGGCCCTGGCATATCATGTTTTCTGGGATCTCAACCTCTCCCATTTCATCCCAGTTAGACATTTTGGGGGTGACCTGTGATTGGGGTCCTGGTACAATTGTCCCCCCTTTCCCAGCCTCTCATCAGCCCTGACTGTGGCAGCCAAGGATCAGGGTCTTTGGCTCTCATAATTACAGACCCTTGTGCTGAGTGAAGAAGCGATCAGTCAACTGAGAGGAAAACCACTGATGAACCATTTCTTCTTAATAATTTTGTCTGAATTGAGGTTTTACCCTTTTAAAAAAAAGGCTTCAAGCATATTTTTGAAATTGGTGTGCTGGAGGTTTGCTGTTAGATGTTAGGTGGAAGAACAATAATGAGTAGTTTATACTGAGCCAAAGTGACTTCACTGGAGTTACACCAGTAATTAATTTGGCTTATTATTGTCCATTTCTGACCTAATCATCCCTCTTCTCCCTAGAAAATACAGTAGAAAGGCTCAAGGCAGCAGAGCAATTTCTAGTTTTTGAATCACACAATCAGGAAACAATACCAGCATGGTATTTAATTCATTAAGTTCCTCATCTTGCTCTTAAAAGAGACTGGTGCAGACTGCAAGGAGATTCTGGCATGAACGTTGTTCTAATGCATGTCCCCCACAACTGTGTTGCCAACTGTCACAGTTTTATCATGAGTCTCACAATATTCATGGTTTGTTTGTTTTTTAAAGCCCCAGCTCCTGGAGTCAGGTATTTAGAGAATCCCAGCTTTCTTTAAAAAAAAAAAAAAAGTTTCTAGCCCTTATGATTACAGAGAAAAGCTTGAAAATCTGATCCCTAAGGAAGAAAACAAAACCCAACAGCAGCAACAACCAGGAGGCCAATAAAAAGAACCCCAAATGTCTTCTTATTCAATTTCACCTGATTTGTAAGACAATCTCATGATGCCAGAGGGCTTGGCTCATGAGTTTGTCATGCCTGGGGTTGGCCATACTGCCACAATGAATGTACCCATACAGCCTTTCCCCACTTCTGTGAAGAGTTTGATCAAAGTGCAGAACACTCTATAAAAGAGGAGTTCAAATCTAAGATGAAATGGGAAAGGGTCTTTAAAACTTTCCTGAGACACATTCTGAACAGTTAACAGTACTATGTACAGGACAAGTGAGATTTCAGACGGCCAGCGTGGGCACCAGTACCCAGAACCAAAGTAAACCAAACGTGGAGCAGGAGCTAGACAAAGCTTGGAAGGAGTTTGCCCAAGATGTAAAGGAAGTACCCCGAGAGCCAGTTTCCAGTGGTACCTTGGCTTTGTGGGCCTCTTAAGCCTTACCTTGGACAGACATTCCTCTGGTTCCCACCTGGCTGGAGCCCCTCGCCCTCCTCACTTGTCCTTCAGCGCTGCCATGCCCAGGGACTCCGAGCCGTAGTCATACTGGTTGCTGGAGGACGTGGCCCTTCCCCAGGAGCACTGCAGGTTGGAGCTCCGCTTGCGGAAGGAGGAGGTGAAGCGGTAGAAGCTGCGGTGCCTGTTGCGCAGGTACTCCCGGTAGTTCTTGGTGAGCAGGGTGTAGAGGAAGGGGTTGATGCAGCTGTTGCTGTAGGTCAGGCAGGTCACCAGGTAGTTAATGCACTTTTGGGTCTGCGAAGTCAGCTGCAGGGAGCTGTGGTAGAGGCGCACCAGCTGCCAGACCCAGAAGGGCAGGAAGCAAGCCCAGAAGACCAGCACGATGCTGAAGACCATGATCAGCACCTTCTGCCTGGGGGACCTCTTGCCCTCCTTGTGGGGCGGGTTCCTCTGGGACTCCAGGTAGGTCCTGGCCAGGCGCGTGTACAGGTAGCCGATGATCACCCCCGGGGCCATGATGCTGGTGCTGAACAGCACGGTCAGGTAGGTCCTGTAGGCGTCGGCGCTCCACGTCGGGGCGCACATCCGCTTCACCTTGCCCCCGGCCTGGCCCGCCTCGGTCAGCGTGACCATCAGCATCATGGGCAGGGTGAGCAGCAGGGAGACGGACCACACGGCCCCGGCCGTGGCTTTGCGGTAGCCCCGGGAGCGCTTGAGGCTGTCCAGGGGCCGGGTGACGGCCAGGTAGCGCTCGGCGCACATGAGGGTGAGGGTGAAGATGCTGGCGTGCATGGTGAGCAGGTCCAGGCTGAGCAGGACGCGGCAGCCCAGGTCCCCGAAGTACCAGTCCTGCGCCAGGTAGGTGCAGACGATGAAGGGGATGGTGGAGAGGTAGAGCAGGTCGGCCAGCGCCAGGCTGATGATGGAGCTGTACATGGGGGCAGCGCAGCGCGCGGACTGGCACATCACCGCCAGGGTGTACAGGTTCCCCGCCACCCCGGCCACGCACATGCAGGACAGCACCGTGCCGAAGGCGGAGGTGATGAGCAGCTCGCTGCCGCCGCCGCCCGAGCCCGCCGCCCGGCCGGACGCGTTGCCTGCCCCGCCGGCGGTGAGGTTGGGCTCCATGGGGGCTCAGGGCAGGCGGCCTCTGGCTGCAGGGCGCCCGGCGGCGGGCATCGCCCGGGCTGCTGCGCCCTGCCTGGCGCGCTCCCCGGCGCAGCTGCTCAGCCGGGACAGGAGCCGCCCCCGAGCCCCTTCCAGCGCCCAGCGGGGCCCTTCCCCCGGTGCCCGCTGCAGCCCGGGGGCGAGACCCAGCCGGCCAAGCCACTCGGCGAGGGGCAGGGCTCTGGCTCCGGCCCCCAGCCGCCGCCGGGGCTCCGCGCCTTGGGGACGGGCGGGCGGCGAGTGGCTCCGGGTTGCGAACGCTGCCTGGAGCAGCCGCGGCGGGGGGGCGGGGGGATGTGGCCATCGGACGCTCGGCTCGTGATGGGGGTGAGCTGGGTGCGTGTGTCTGGGCGTGACCGGGTCACTCGGGGCGTGGGCTGGCCCCGGGCTCCGCCAGAGCCGGGCAGCTGCTGCTTCATTCACACTCATCCCAGGACCCACGGGGAGGGCCCCTCCCCAGCTGCAGCCCCGGGGCCGAGTGAAGGCGAAACTAGGGACCCACGGACGCGCCCCACCCATCCCGACTCATCCCGGGGCCGGGGGGAGGCAGGAAGGTTGCTGAGGGGCAGCGGGTCAGACCTCAGTGGTTTGGATCCCTGCAATGGGCAGAGCCCGGGGCACAGATCGCCGGCTGCATCCTTTTCTGGGCATGGGAATGAGGCCTCCAGGAGCCGAGTGACAAATCCTGGGCAATAATTAATAGAGTGTTTTACAAACCCGGCTCCTGTTCCTGCCCCTCTATGGTGGGTAAAGGAGCGGCTGGAGTGGCCAGGTAAGCATGACCCCTCCTGGTGAGAAGCCATCTGAGGTTCGTAGGCCTGCCCCCTACCTAGGCTGTTGGGAGAGGGTTTCGGACAGGGCATGCCCTGCCAACTGGGAACTGAACATTAGAGCAGCCCCTCTGGAGGGGGAAAGGGGTGACAACATGGCAAGGGGTTTAGAAAACCTGATCTGTGAGGGCATGTGCAGTAGTCTTGAGGGGAGACCTAACAACAGTCTTCAAATCAGAACTCTTCTTATGAGTTATAAGAACAGTTAAGCAGTGGAGCAACTCACCTGGCTGGTTGGCTCATTGGAGGTTGTTAAGAAGAGGTTGGAAAAACACCTGTCAGCGATGGTCTAGGTTTCCTTGCCCCTGCATCAGTGTGGGAGGCTGCATTAGAATAGATGACTCCTGGAAGTACCTTCCAGCCCTGTGATTCTGTAAATTACGCTGGAGCTAGACCAGGTTGAGAATGAGATAGGCATAACCACCTCCCTGGCTGCTGCCCTGCCCTGCCCTTCCCCCTTACACCAAGTTGATCTTCTTGGCACAAGGGAGAATCAGGGTCTTACGTATTTAGTTTCACAAAGACGCCCACCAGGAAAGGAAGGATCATTAATCCCCTTGTGAAGGCACATAGGAGCTAGAACTAGGGGTGTTGCTGTACCCTCTGGCTTGAAATGGTTTCCATCAGATACAGCAGGGGTGGGCAAACTTTTTGGCCTGAGGGCCACACTGGGGTATGGAAATTGTATGGCGGGCCATGAATGCTCACAAAATTGGGGGTATGGGTGCGGGAGGAGGTGAGGGCTCCAGCTGGGGGTGTGGGCTCTGGGGTGGGGCTGGGGATGAGGGGCTCGAGGTGAAGGAGGGTGCTCCAGGCTGGGACCAAAGGGTTCAGAGGGCGGGATGGGGATCAGGGATGGGGCAGGCTGTTAGGGCATGGGAGGGGGGCGAGGGCTCTGGATGAGGGGTTTGGGGTACAAGAGGGGGCTCTGGGCTGGGATCGAGGGGTTCAGCGGGCGGGAGGGGGATCAAGGCTGGGGCAAGGGATTGGGGCATGGGGGGAGGAGCTCAGGGGTGCAGGCTCTGGGCGGCACTTACCTCAAGCAGCTCCTGGAAGCATGTCCCCCCTCTGGCTTCTAGATGGAGGTGCAGCCAGGCAGCTCTGCTGTGTGGAGCGGGGCAAGCCCCCGACCCTGCTCCCCAGTGGGAGCTGAGAGCCAGATTAAAAGGTCTGATGGGCCGCATGTGGCCCGCATGCCATAGTTTGCCCACTCCTGATATACAGGGTTTACAGTTTGGTTCAATGGCTCTCAGCACCACCACTATACAAGTTGTTCCAGCACCTCTGTGCAGGCATGACTTTACTCCTGGGGGAATTCTGCATCACTGCATGTGTGCAGAATTCATGGCCCTCACAGATTTCTTTGCTTCCCTGCAGAAAAATTACTTCTGATGGGGAAACTGCAAGAGCGGTCATGCGCCCCTCTCCGGCAATGCAGACAGGTCGGTTTGGGGACCCAGTAAATCACTGTCAAGGGGTAGGGCTGGGCAGTTGTGCAAGTGAGAGAGAGACACTCTGTCTCTCTCGCTCACTATTGCAGCACGCTTGGTGTGGAGGGGCAGGGCTTTGGGGTGTTTCTGAGGATGTAGGCATGGGGCAGGCTCTGTCCCTTAGGGCAAAGCAGAATGTAGCAGCCTACCTGCTTAGTGAATTGTTCCCATTGTTCTTAGTGAATTCCCCCAGGAATATAAAACAGGGGTAAAAATGTTAAGGCTCCTTTACATTGCCAGAGTGGTGTAAAGGAGCCTTATTGTAAAGGCCATAATAGGTATTATAAATGCTTATGGTGCTTTAGGGATTAAAACTGGTCTAAATTTTTGGACTGAAAAAAATTCATCAAAATGTGTTTCATGAACTGTTTACTACTGACCTTTCTGGAGATGGTCAGTAGCCAATATAAATTGTGAGTTTGAGTCCCCAGCTGTCACTTGCTCTTCAGTTGCCTATGATGTAACACTGAGCATATGGCTGCATATATTTGTTGACTAATAACTATAAGTAAAGGGTCAATACTAGCTACGCTACTATTAGACAAAGGGGGTTTGGGGATTTCCTCCAATGCTCCCCACTCCCATTCTCCATCCATTGTACTGTAGTTTAAATAAATTACCAAAATAATTGAAACCAGTGTGATTATATTGTATTATTTTGACAAATAAAATATGCAGAATTTTTAAATATTGTGTGCAGAATTTTTATTTTTTTGGCGCAGAATTCCCCCAGGAGTAATGACTTGCCCAAGATCATACTGTGAGTCAGTGGGCATAGCCTGACCTAGCTCTATGCATTCATCATCCTGGCACAACTGAACTGCTAAAGCCACATGACTGTGATTGGTCAACACCATCCTGAGCTAGAAAGAGTAGCAGTGGAAGCAGAGAAGTTAGCTCTAAAGATATCACATGAAATGACAAAGACAATGGTGACATCTAAGTCCCTA